AAATGAAGAATCCGTACCCGAAAAATTATGATCAATAAAACCACAACAAAATCCAGTTAATTAAGCCACATATCACCAAAAACCACACTCTTTTGCAGACGAACGTTAAACCATTCAACCTCAAATAAATTTAAAAAAAAAAAAATCAAATCACGGAAAATCATATAGAACATAAACAAGAGTAAATCACTAACGATTACAGCAATTCATGATGTATAGAAAAAAAAAAAAAAAAAAAAAAACTTACGATTCTCCGCGAGAAGAAGGTCCGAACGGCCTTTTAGTTTGAGGATTCACATATGCATCGTCTCGCAAACGCTTCATCCCCTCTGCAAACACATCAACTTCAACGTTAACACCAAAAAAAAAATTAGAAAAATGAAAAAAAAAAAAAAAAAATTAACCTGTGAAAATCTCTTCCCTTCAGAAAAGGGAAAAGCGAACAGATCTAATCGAAGAACCGAACCAATGGAGAAATGATTACAGTTAAAAAATCCTTAATTTATTTTTTAATTTAATTTAATTTAGCGCAGCCTCTTTGTAACGTTAGAGAGAGAGAAGGAAAAAATGAAGAGGTGAGCAAGAATTTGGAGGTGTTTTGTGGTGGTGCTCTACATACATAATATGATGTTGTATCTCTTATTACGCCAATTCTATTCTACTATTATATATACATTGAAATCTTGTAACATGTTTTATGTCTAGGGGTTCTTTTTCCCTATTTTTCTATTTCTTAATTTTCATTTTTTTCTTTTTTTTGTCAAAAAAAATTGTATTTTTCAAAGTTTCACAAATTATTAAAATGGCTATAAAAAAATTAGATGTTGTATCGAGTCATTTTTTCGCCTTTCGATTTGTGTAAAATGTGTGTATTTCTTTTTATTTACACTATCATAAAATAGTTTGCAGATCATACTAGATATATGAAAACCATGTGTGATCAGCTCAACTTAGTAACCGTTAGCAAATGGATTCGAATTTTGATCAACCATGTAAAATGTGTGTGTGAATCTGTACACGCGTATGATTTAATAATAAAATTGGAGTTAAATGGGTGTAGCATGGAACAAACATGGCTCTAAGATGTTGTTCAAGTCATTTATAAATTTCAATTATATATAATCTATTTAATATTTATTTTTTTATGTATTTATGAATTGTGATACATGATACAAATTGAAATTTGAAACACCAATTTGAAGAAAGGTAGATTGAGGAACGCAAATAGTGGCTAAATGTTGAAAGGGAATTGTTTTTTGCGGTTTGAAAATTGTTATTTGCGGTTTTTGACAAAACCCCCCAAAAAAATATTTTATTTCACTAAAACCCCAAAACTTTCCAAAAAAATCCAAACCCCCCCCCCCCCCCCCCAAAACGCCAAAAAGCCCAACTTGGGCGCCCATTTATGCAGTGCACGCCCAAGTTGGGCGTGCAAGCTGCATTTGGGCGCCCGAATTGGGCGTCCAGTGCAAATTTTTTTTTTTTTTTTTTTTTAAATTGTCGAACGCCCAAGATGGACGCCTTGGGCGCCCATCGTGGGCGTTCGACCATTTTTTTGCGAAAAAAAAAGCCCTACAAATCGATTTGTAGGGCTTTTTAACATGAAATTGGTTCCGTAATCGACCTACCCAATGCATATTACACATAAAAGAGTCGAAATTACATCAAAAAATCGAAGCCCAACCCTTCTTCAAGCTTGATTTCGAATTTTTGAATTTTTTTTTCTTTTTTTTTTTTGCTATTTGCAGTTTTGGGGGGTTTTTTGATATTTTTAAAAGTTTTGGGGGGTTTTGTTAGAAACCGCGAATAGCAATTTTATGACCGCAAATAGCATTTTCTATGTTGAAATTGGATTTCTTTTTCTTTTTCATTTTTTTTATTTATAATACTTTAATTAATATATATTCATCTTATAAAACATAACCAAATTTTGTGTTAAATTGAGCAAAATATATTAACTTTTATATATGACTTTGCATTTGGTGAACATGCGGAGGTTTAAGTAACAACTGCAATGATTTGCTTCGTTTGATATGACTTTTTCATTGTAACAAACATTACCATTCCACTCAAATAAATAAAAATTAGATTAGGTACAAAATAATACATGTTGAATGAACTAATGTTATAGATTGTAAATTTCAAGGGTCAATTAATATATATATATATATATATATATATATATATATATATATATATATATATATATTTTGACCCACACACAAATGGAATCAAATTGTCTATTAAGTCCAGTTAAAAGTTGAAGCTTGTGATTAGTGGCAATGGCGAGTTCAGAAATTTATCATAAAGTTGACTTAATTTTTTTAGGATTATTTTTGCATTAATTTGGGATTTAAATGGATTAAATGCTCCTTCCGAAAAAAAGTTTTAAGGCCTTCTTTTATTTACAAAACCAAAAGATAGAAAAGAAAATTTATTATGACCTTTTTTGCATTAATTCGGGATTCGGGTAGACTAAATAATAAGCTTGAGGTGGACTAAATAAATATATATGTATAATGTAAAGGATTTTTTTCGTAATCGAGAGAGGATGTGAGTCTTCCACCTTTGACCAAAGGATGCTTGTAATTGAATAAGATTAATTTTGTAGGTAATATGTACAAGGGAAGTAAAACAATTATATACCTAAAAAACTACTACTAATAATAATAAGATTTTTTATTGCAACATTACATTTGAAACTAAATTATAGTAATTTTAGCATTAAGTCAAATACAAAGTAAAAATTAAGATAATCCAATACAACGTAATTCAAATTAACCTAATCTATGTAATGGTAGAAATCTTATACACAATAGAACATCGATAAATTAATAATCTCGTTTAAATAATAGGTTTTCTCGGTTCCAACTTGAAGACAACGAGTTAAAAAATATATCGTCAAATTAGTATTTCGTTAATTAATGGAATTTGACCGGTTTCGAGTATATTAATTTATAGAGATTTAACCGTAATATAAATAGTGTATCAAGTAGCCACTAGTGTGTGGTGTGTGAGAGAGAGAAAGTCATGCCAATCATTTGGGTCGAGGATCCAATCTAAGCTGAAAAATAAGATTTCTATGTCGAAGCCCAAATCCATTATTTTGGGCCTAGCCCAAATAAATTAATTTAGCCTTAGACTAAAAATATCATTTTTGGGCTAGTTGATAATTATGGTATCCAATTTGTTTATGCCCAATTCGAGTAAAATCCCTCCAATTTTGATGGTATTTAGCAAAATTTAAACTCGTATTCCTTCGATTCGGTCTCGTAGATGCTATGTTGCGTAAATTTTATCGGGTAATTTTGCACGATTAAATTAATTTAAAATGCTCAACTCTCAAATCATTTGTATTTTTCTTTTCAAAATATGTACAAATGGAATATAATGAGTTTGTCACACATTCTAAATCGATTTCATCGTACATGACTTTTTCAGTTCAACTGACATCTTTCGTATGATCTGCAGGCTTGCAGGCTAGCTCTTGTACAAGCGCAGAATTTACTCAATGAATGACTTCACTTATAAAATTAAGGGGCTATTTGCCAAATCCCCCTCATTGAATTTTGAATTTATGATAAATCCACATTTTTTTGTTCATATTTGTGATAAACCCAATTAATTTCAATTATCTAAAATACCCCTATTTTAAATTACTGAAAGTTACCATATATTATTATGGAAAATCAATTAATTCTTTTTAAATATTCAAATCCCCCAAATTTCTCACAATCTCACGTCATTCTAGTTGTTCTTTTTTTTTTTTTTTTAACACTTTCTTTATTTCGAATTAAACAAAAATTGGTTTTTTTTTTTTTTTTTTTCTTTCAGTTTTTTAAATTTTGTAATCCACTACATACTCATCAAAAACCACTATAAATTTCATCGAAAACCACTATGAAAATGAAGTAAATATTAATATAAAACTAAACTTACCGAAATCTACGAATGCACTACGAATTAACTCATCAAAAACCACTATAAATTTATCGAAAACCACTATGAAATTGAAGTAAATAGTAATTTAAAGCTAACGTAATCTACATTAATATTAATGTAATCCACAACAAACTTACCGAAATATATTTCGTAATGCACTACAAATTAACGTAATCCACTAAAAACATACAAAAAACGAAATCCACTATTCCCGACCCTATATCGTCTTCCATCTCCCATGGCCACCGACGCCTCCCTGAAATTTCAGAAAACAGAACATCGAAAAAATAAAACCCTCTACACACTCGTAGATATTGAAAACCACTATATACTCATTCAAAATCACTATTAAATTATCAAAAATCACTATAAAATTAACGTGGTCCACTTTAATATTAATATAATCCGCTACAAAACGTATCAAAAAATACTAAAAATGTGCATATTCCACAACGAATTAATATAATCCACTACTAATTACAAATAAAAAATAATAAAAAAAGAATGTTAATCCACTCTTTCAATCCACTTTTGGTTCCTAGTTCGCGTATTTTCTCCCCTTGAGCAATTTCATCAAAAATAAATCATGAAACTGACCAATTAATGGAGATATTTAATTGTCTTAAAAAATCCAATTAATGCATCTGTGGTACACAATCATAAAAACAGAGAAATAACCATTTTTATGATTGAAAAACAGAGAAATAAAACAATTTATAATATTATGTAAGACAATACAATCATAACTCAATTTGCTCAAAAGGATGGCAACTGATGGTAATATTTTTTTATATGGGAAAATATACCACGATGCCATTAGAGAAGCAATCACATTAAGTAAGAATCGCGCGACGAGCGCTGCGGCCGCGGGTTGCAGAAGATTTTGTTGGAGCTGCCCTGAGTATGGTGGGTAGGAGTGAGATGCCAGAAAAGAGCGGCGCGACGACGATGGATGATCATGTACTAATACATTCATTGTTGTATTAATACTAGTATTCAGTCGACGATGGATGATCATGTACTAATACTAGTATTCAGTCGACGTGATATTCCCGGTGTTCCACCGTTGGTTGTTGGAAACTGTAGATCGAAACTCTTGCCCTTAGCATCGGAAACCAAATGCTGCCTAAACATAGCTATAAAAGCCTCCGCCCTCCGATTCAATTCCTCCTTCGACAGCTGCTGGTCATCTGAATCATCTCCGCCGTTGACTTTTTCGATCTCGTCAACCCGATTTTTAATTTCTCCGGCGTCCGAAACAAGCGGATGGCTGCAAAAATGCTCTTCGATTATTACTTTCTTCGTATCGAGTACTTTTGAATCTTCGGCTACGTCGTCGATTTGATTATTCGACGAGGGTTTGGAGGGTTTGTAGGGTTTGGAGGAGGTGAAAAGAATGGCGAGGAGCAAGAGATTCAGAGCTAGGAAAGCCCACACGCGCCACTGCGCGAAGAGTGACACCACCACCGCGCGTTCTATGCACGCGATTAACGCCGCCGTCCCCGCCGCGAACCACACCGCCTGCAGCTGAGCGTCTTCTCCGATCATCTTTTCCCCACACATTTTACACACACTAAGAGATGAAAATTATTGGGTGTGTGTGTGTGGGTGACAAATTTAGAGATACTGCTTGAGGCCATTTTTATAGAGGGAATGAAATTATATGAAATGATTTTTTATTTATTATTATTATTATTATTTTAATTTAGCTGATTGACAGATATGTGTCATTGGGCTGTGTTTAGAGAGAGAGAGAGAGAGAGAGAGAGAATGAGTAGCAGGCTTTGTTTTGTAATGATAAGATGATGGTGAGGAGTGAGAGAGACAAGAAGACATTCTCTTTGTGCAAAATGGCAGCACCATCACTGATTTTTATTCACTCCCCCCACTTTAATTTTTTTTTTATACAAATTAATATACCAAAAATGTTAAATTACTCCTCACCCACTGAGGTAACGACAAAGTACGAAAAACCTCTTATATTTGGTTAATTATTGTGAATTTTTTTACACGTGTGTCAAATTTAGTGCAATATTCTCGGGTTTGTATCCGTTTAATTCAATTCGAACTCCACACAGTTAAACAAAATAATCATAAGATGTGTCATTTGGCTTATAAATATCAAGTTGTGATGCATCATAAACAGTATTTTGCTTAAAACAAGTATAAATTAGAGAACATTTCACGAAATCTAGAAAATTTTGTAGAATTTAACACCATAAGTGGACGCTAAAAACATTTATAGTTTATGGGTTTTTTCCCTCTTTTTTATTTAGTAACAAGTGGGGTATTTATTTATCTTATTTATAGGTGATATATTTATGTTTGAATGTTTTGGGGGTGGGGTGGGGTGGGGTGGGGTTGTACTCAAGACAGCAAAACTTTTTGCCGGAGTTTGAAAGCTGACTTAACAGAGGGATGTTGTGCTGGTTTCCAAAGCACGCCTATTTCTTATGCTCTCCTAATTTCATCATTTTCAACCATAATATTTTTTATTTTTTTTATTAATTCTAAAATTTTTGATTCCGACTTTAAATATTATTACAGGTGACTAAAAAAATGAAAATTTCCTTTCTATTTTTATTCCAATTTTTTAAATTACGATTATCGAATTATCTTGCAACATAACTGGATTTAATTTTTTCACCTTTGAAAAAATTAGGATATTTGCAAAATTATTAATTTCGATCCGAGATGTTCGATTATTATCCTACTTATGCTTAAACATCACATAATCGAGCTTACGTTCCGGTTGATTCATCCATTTTTCAATATCAAAATTTCTTTAGTTTCCCTCTAAATTCCCATCCGTTTTGTTCTCGGGCAAACTACTTCAGGTTCGGGTTCCGAATTTCGAATTTTATAATAATTATTTTAGTTTTTGTAAAGAGGAAACTTCACAATCAACTTTTTTTTTCCGAGAAAAAAAGAAGAGTGTGTTATTATTATGCGTAATACGCCAAATCACCCGGAAGGGCGAAGCCTTCATTACAACTCGTACCATGCCTAAACGCTAACATATAAGCTAATAATTGATTACCAGAACGTTTAATAAAAGAGAAGGAACAAAACTCAAACGATGGAACAAAAGATAAAACCTCTACTATAAAAACTCCGTGAGTAGAGTTGGTTGAAATACCTACACGCAAGTGCACGTATCGTATAAGTAATATAGTGGACTAAAAGTCCGGATATCGAACCCACATAGAATATTTAATTATTTAATCTTAGACGCTAAATCCTACCAATTATTATCAAGCCCACCCTACACAGTCGAATTTGGAGAGAACTAACTAAAATAAACTAAATTAAAAAGCAAATTAAAAAGACAAGAGCACAAAAGCAATTAAAAACGAAGGTTTAATCAGAGTAAACAAGCCTACGATTTTATTCTCCCCCCTATGTGATTATTACTCCCCCAATTTCTTGAATTTATGCAAGCAATTAACCCGGATTATTAACCTGAGATGCTAAAATAATCATAACCCGCTTCCGCGTGTATTACGATTCTAATACTCTAGATTCAGTTACTATATTCCTATGCAATTGATTCTAGAACACAACATTAAGCACAAATCTCAATAATGGCTACCTAAGAGATTAACTATATTCCTATGTTAATACCACAAAGGCTCTTCTACCACAGTTCTAATTATTAACCCGATCTTCCGATTCATGCGATTAACAATAACATAAAAGCACATAAGGTGATCAAGTTCATGCACTTAATAAAACAAGTAGAAGAAATAATCCGGAATGAAAACTTGCATAAAATCATAGAAAATGGTTCATAAATCCCACATAGGGTTCAAAATAAAATCATAGAAATAAGAAAATTAGCTACTCATGATTAAAGGAAAAACACAAATAAAATAAATCATAAACGATAAATCTTTTTTTGGAGTCTTCGAATTCTTCGCCTTCGTTATTGCTTTGTTGCTCTTGAAATTGCGTAAAAAGATCTCCAATTGTGTGATTGACTTGGGGAAGAAGGCAATTTCCTTTGCAATTAAAATCCCTTTACTGCGCTGCCTCGGGGTCTCGGACGGCCGTCCCATAATTTGAACTAAAACTCGGACGGCCGTCCGAGCTTTAGATCTTCAGAATTTTGATTTTTTTACTTTTGGCCCATATTTTCTCCAAAATTGCAGTTTTGACCCCATACTTTTCCAATTATTCAATTTGTACCTAAAATGCAATAAATCAACTTTTTAAGCACCAATTATCGTTAAAACACACCAAAAGCTCAAATAAAAAAAGTACGATAAAGTGTAAAAATATACACTTAACACACCCCCAAACTTGAACTTTTGCTTGTCCTCAAGCAAAATCTACCAATAAGCAAATAACTCAACTATTACATCTCATTACATAGATCAATGATCAACTTCACGTTTTCAGAACTTGTAATTATAATGACAATTCTTAGGCATTTGCAAGCTCAAAATTCAACAACACTTAGTCACTCACCATTACCAAAAACCACATTTCATACAATTGCTTCAAGCATCCAATATTTGCAAATTAAAGATAGAAAGAATTTATACTTACATGCATATGTGATGCGATCTCTTGTGTATCATAAGATTTCTTTACTGAACGTAAGAAAACTCTTCTTTATTATTTCTCTTCATAATAAAACCCTAGCACAAGACGACTATTTAAAGAGAATAAAACCCTAGAATCCTAATCTAACTAGGAAAGGTAATGACCTAACTAATAAAATACTTAATAATATCCTAACCACTACTAACTCACGGTAATATTTATTATAAATATACTAATCTAATTAATTAATAATAAACTATTAACTAAACTAATAATTAAACGATATATTAAATAATATATCGTATCAAACCACCCCTCTTGAAATGAACCTTGTCCTCAAGGTTCGAGTCAATTTGGTCTCTCTCCTTTGCGTTTCCACCTATGTTTGACTTCATCGACTTGCTTCCCGATTGACTCCGAAAAACACGATGAACGACCGAGCTTTTTACCACATTGTTCATGCTGATCCAATGAAATAACAAAGGCTACTTTAGCGAAAATATTCAATCTTTTTCCCGACAAATCAACCTTCTCAATTGCCTTTTCAAATTTCATCTCCTTCACAATCAATATCATGCTTTTATTTTTCTCGGTCGTCTTAACAGATCCGGGCTCATTCACAGTCACCAAATCTTGTTCGTCTCCTTTCTTTTGAATATCGTGGGACTCTTCTAATATCCACTGTAGTTCTTCGTTCTCTTCCTTAGTTAATTCCTCACCTTCGTCCCAAATTACCTCAAGTGAATCCGATAATTCATCTTTTGGCGAACTCACAAAAAATTGGGGTTCTTCGAAACAATCATCGTCGTCCTCTTCCTCTTCTTCCGGCAATAGGCTCGGCAACGGCGGCGGCGGTGGTAGTGGCGGTGACTCTTCGAAAAAGTCATCGTCGTCTTCTTCCTCTTCCTCCGGGAATAGGCTCGGCAGCGGCAGCGGCGGTGGCGGTGACGGGCGGCGGTCCCTTCGGCAGCGGTCCCTTCGGCTTTTGTGATGGCGTTGACGTCGTCCTTGACTTTGTTCGAGCAATTTCTGAAAATTAATCCGTAATTTCTCTACGGATTTTTCCAATCGCTCCAACCGTCTTGTTTCTGACATCATGATTTTCACAAAGTTTTGATGTGATCTCAACTTTGCTCCAGCGTAGCTTTGATGTAATCGCTGCCTTGCTAACGAAGCGTTGGTGTTAATCGCAACTTCGCTCTGATACCAATTGATGCGATCTCTTGTGTATCATAAGATTTCTTTACTGAACGTAAGAAAACTCTTCTTTATTATTTCTCTTCATAATAAAACCCTAGCACAAGACGACTATTTAAAGAGAATAAAACCCTAGAATCCTAATCTAACTAGGAAAGGTAATGACCTAACTAATAAAATACTTAATAATATCCTAACCACTACTAACTCACGGTAATATTTATTATAAATATACTAATCTAATTAATTAATAATAAACTATTAACTAAACTAATAATTAAACGATATATTAAATAATATATCGTATCAATATGCTTGACTCCAAATACTCACCAAATTATTCTACTCAACTAATATCGAACATTAAGCTATTGGGGTCATTGGGGCTTTGTGGCTTTCAATTGTTAGGCTCTTTGGTTCGAGGTAGGAAATACGGGTATATGTGGCTATTCTTCTTGAATTGAGGTGATTACGCCAAAATTTGAAAGATAGGCGTTTGAAACAATGAATTCACCTCTAAGGACTTTAATAAACTCGATTCTCAAAAGTTCAAAAGTCTCCACTTTTGCTTTTGAGGTAATAGATCGAGCTTTCAAAACAATTCAACAACTAGTCATTACTTCTCCCTTCTAGTTTCTCTCTCTCTCTCTCTCTCTCTCTCTCTCTCTCCCTCTTTTTTTTTTAATATATATATATATATATAGAAGCACATATATATGGATCGAGCTTTCAAAACAATTCAACAACTCGTCCTTACTTCTAGTCTCTTCTTCTTCTCTTTTTTTTTTTAATATATATATAGAAGCATATATATTTATCTCTCTTTTTTTTTTTCTTTTTTCTTTTTTTTTTCTTTATTTTCTTTTTTTTTTTGAAGAAGAAGAATGACCTTATAAAAAATTTCGACCGAACTCCAAGGGGTATTTTTTCAAGAATCTCCACTTTCTACCTTATACACATTGGCTAAAAGAAAGAACACCTTTTCTTCGAGGCTCAAATGAAGGTTCTAAGGATAATTTCGATAAAAATGTCGGCTTGAAAGGCTCAAACGGTTTAAAGAAGGCCCAAATCATATCCCAAATCACTCACTACTCAATACTTTGTATCATAAATTTCCTAAGTTGAGTTTTAAAACTGAACATAGCATGATCT